GCTCTGCACCCTGCCATGAACCTCTGCTGCCCCCTGGCGGGGGTCAGCAATGCAGCAGGGCCCAGTCCTGCCCAGGCAGCTTCCGCACAAGCAGCCGTGCCCTTGCCTCACCCCAAGCCCCCACCTGCATGGTGGCAGCCCCCCCACCGGGCTCATACCCTGGTAGAACTCAGCGTTGCCCAGGAAGAGGCTGCTGTTGAGCAGGGCGAGGACCCAGCAGAGCGGCAGCAGGTACAGGATGCAGATGGAGCCCAGCAGTGCGCCATAGAACCTGGGGGGAGCAGGGGTCAACACAGGCAGCCCCCACCCCCTCCAGGCAGCGCCTACTCGCAGCCCCTGCCTCCCAGGGCACCGTGGACTCCCATGGCCCCCTGCCAGGGGACTGCAACCGCGTGGCAGGATGCGGGTTTTCAGAGGGCGCAGAGCAGCCTGGTGCTCTCAGGGGCTGTGCCCAGCCGCAGCCGGTCAGCGATTGCAGGCTGGTGAGCACTGGGCAGCTGCAGCAGATAACGAGCTAGCATCCAGGCTGCTGAAAGGACCCCCACAACCCCTGTTCTGCTGACTTCTGCAGAAAGGGTGCTTGCCCCAGAGAAATGAAGGCAGTAGGAAGATCAAGTGACCCTGAAATACCATGTATTGGAGTGGGAACCCTCCGGACCCACACAGGGACCCATGCATGGGGGCAACTCACTGGGTGGAGGCAGCGGGGTCCTCCCAGTACAGCACACGGTAGGCGGCCTCGCAGCGCCCACACACGTGGCTCAGGAAAGCCTCCAGCTGGATCAGGCTGTGGGGGAAGCCGCGCGTGAGGGGGCTTTGCTGTGCCTGGCTCCACGCGCGCTCCCCCAGCAAGGGCCCGAGCCCAGCACCGGCACTTACAAGCTCTTCACCTCGGCGATGGCCTCGGAGCGCGAGAGCTGCACCTGCGGCAGGTCCTCGCGCCGGACGCTGTGGTGCTTCCTGTGCGCCAGCTCACGCGGGGACAGGCGCACGCGGCACGTCTCCCGCAGGTAGCCCAGCAGCGCCGGCAGCGCCACCAGCGCCGCGCACAGCCCGTACCACGCCGCTGTGGGCCCCACACCTGCGTCAGCCCCG